GTGGTGGCTGAGGAGGTGCTGTGGTGTCCTCTCTCCTCACAGGCTGAAGTGGAGGAAACCCTAAAGAGGATTCAGGCCCACAAAGGGGTTATTGCCACTATGGTTATAAACGCCGAAGGTAAAACGTCCTCTGCTTTTTCCAAGTAACAAGCTTGGCCATGGTAGCGAGTGTAGTAACTCTTAAGCAAAAAATTGCAGATTATGAGGTGTTACTGCAATGCACTTGAGATGCCTTATGAAGGTGGTGTGATTTTCAGTGATGTGTTTCACCTTAAGATGTGAACATTTGGTTTGTGGTCATTTCTTGAAGGTCTCCATATGATGTAGTTTTTCATTCAAGTTAATGGAAAGTGGAGCCTTGACTTAAGTCTTCTCTGAAGAAATAGCTAGAAGTATCATAATCTTCATTTAACTTAAGGAGTTCAATGTTGTTACTCATCCCCCTTATTTAACTAAACTATATTTTTTGGAACCAGATCTTGAACATCTCTTGATAGGTTACAGAAAGGGAGAATATGTGGCACTAAGCTGTTGCTTTTGCAGGCACTTTTAGTCCGAAATTCTTCATATATGCAAGAAAACTCACTAGCACTTCCCTCTCTCCCTCTTCCTCTGTAAAGTTATAATATAACAAAAACTTCAGGAGAAAAGCATTTATGAAACAAAGTTGGTCTTCTACTGTGGGAGCCATTCCTTAGCCCTGCTAAATATTCAGCAGCTCTTTAAATTGTGTTGTGGTGTGTTGTCATAGGAGGAAGAGCAAGTTTCACGTCAGGCCAGCCTTGGCTGTGATCCTCAATATTGCAAGCCAAAAGCGAAACTGTTCACAGAAATCACTTTCCAGAAGCTGGGCTTCTCAGGTTAATCTGTTTTAATGCTTCCTTTACAAAGAGGACAACTCACTCAATTTACCTCGCCCATAATTTAGTTGACCTCCTTCACTCCTACAATCCCCAAAAAGATCTATTGCACTTGCAGCGGTTTAGCAACAGGAGGAAAGAACACTACGAAGGAAGCCTAAATGTTACTTAGTCTTTAGAAGATGTGGACAATTTAATTTGTGTGCCTGGACATGTTAAAAGTAAAATGTGCCTTTGTTCACAGAATAGATGATGCAGGTCAAGACAAGTGCGTAGCCTGGCAAACAGAAACTGAAAAGTTGTTTTGTGCCTGCCCGTGCTCATGGCTAGATACGGCAGTTCACGAAGCTGAAACGCAGCCTGGTTTCAGAACATTTCTGTATTGTGCTTCAGTAAACAGAATGTGACTTGGTCCAATGAGCACTTAGACTAGGTTGCAGATGAGGTGAAAAAACCCAAGCACTTCAGTAACACAAATGATCCTCTTTGAGCTTACGAACTGTTACATCTGTCAAGGCAAAACTACCAATGTAACCTAATAGAAAATAACCCATTTTTCTTATGTTCTATTTACTTGGAACAGTTCAATTCTTGGCACAATACTGGTGAAGAATGCTTTCCCACTCAGGTGTACTACTGCAGTTTGTCTTTACCTGTGGTTGCTCTACAGTACTGAGGGAAAGCTCAGCTATAGCTGTGCAGAGTTAGGACAAGAGCATGCTTTTTAAAGGGCTGGTGTGGATTCCAAAATCCAAATTCTGGCTGATGCTGGCCACCTCAGGATGATGGTGCGTGTGTATCCCTTCTGTCTCAATCTTGATTTGCAAAGGAGGAAGAATGTTCTACTTCCCTTTTTCACACATTAGACTGTTCACAGCAAGGTATACAGTGCCCCCATGTCCTGTTCAAGTTTCCACATCCTCACAAACCTGTACAACGTGTGGCCAGACTGAAGCTGATGGACAAGACCAGTGCAGGAATTTTGGGTTTAGTTTATCATTTAGAAATGTTTTGATGCCATATGTGAATGCAAGAGAGTCCTGCTCTGTGAGGATGCATTCAAGGTACTGAGAGTTTAGATTCCACAAGCTAAACCTCAAAGTAGGTGTGTACTTGCAAGTTTTTTGTAACATCTCCAAATAGCCATAGTTAGCATTGGTCAACCAAATTACTTCAAATCTTTCTGTAGAAAATTAAATTTAATTTCTCTCTATCCTGAAACATTTAAAACAAGTGTACAACTTAAATTTATCACAGTAAAAATACTCAAACCAGTGGTGCAGTAGTGTGGTTTTTTAGGCTGCTCAGGTTCCCTAAAAAGATGAAACCCTCTGTTCTTCACTAACATAAATAGTTGTATTTTACTAAGATTTTTGTAATAGTGTAGGTACACTTAGGTGTAATAGTATGTAGGTGAAATAGCCAATTAAAGATTCCAGATACAAACATTGCCTGTCACTTTTTTTAATGCTGAAAGCTGATTTGTTCATTGAAACACTATGTGAAGTGCACCTTGTTTATCTGGATAATCTCATGAACTGTTGCTATCCTTCACAGTTGAGAAGGACCACACCATAGCATTCCTAATGAAGGATTTATTTGTCTTTCTCTAATTTGGGTGGCAGAGGCAAAGAGAATTTGTCCTAAAGTAAGCATAGCTCAGCTTTAATCTAAGGATGGCACTAGTGTCAACTCATTTTCATGTTATTATTAGACCTTGGAGGATCATTTAACATTTACCATTTTCATTAAAAGTGCTGTATTTGTTGAAGCAATCATTTAGATGCAAGGTCATATAAACTTGACACTAATTCATTGCTGCTTATAAGTGACTTACTGTTTAGCGCTGTGATTATATAGATATTCTCATGCTAATGCAGTGCTTGGGAACACCTGTTTGTTTCCATTAAAACATCATTTTCAATCTCTGTGTAATAAACATCAGACACAAAGGATGTACTGGGTCATTCTGTACACTTCCCTACACATCCTACCAATGCAGAACTATTTCTTACATGACGACACAGATTTCAAGTGATTCAAATAACGCTTTCCTAGGAAAAGTATGGAATAGTCTAGTATCTGAGGTGGTTCTATTATTTCTTTTACTCCTTTGCCTCCCATTCTTTACCTGGCATTCACTATTTTTGCATGTTAATTCTTTCATAATCAAACTCTTCAACTTAAGTCATATGACTCTATTTTGGTATTCCTGTCCTGTCCATCTGGAAGAAGCAATACAAATGTATGCAAAGAGAAAATTGCCTTGCCAGCTCGTAATCTATTGTCTTTGTTAGTAGGTCAAAGAAATTTTTTAATAGTGAAACAAGCTTTTTAAAGCCAGTTTTACGCTTGCATGATTACTGTAAACGCTGATTTTAGTTTCACCTGGTAGCCTATTAATATAAAAAGCATGATTCGACAAATCATTGACAAAAAATGAATCATTAAATCATCAAAAATTAATCTTGACTTAACGTGGTCATATTTTTAATAGTTGGGATCAATACACTGTGTACTACCAATTGTCAATATTTTGCTGCTAATTGGAAGGGATTGTTCCAAGGGTGGGTTTCCTTGCCAAATGCAAACATGCCGCTTCTGCCCTTTGATTGCTCTTGGTATTTCACTGGGAATGTGTAATTTCTATCACTGCACATGCCAAATGCTACCGTTAAAGTGTGGGTTAGATTCTTGCAGCCAAGATACAAATCAATGCTGCTGTTTAAGCTGATGAAGCACCATAACTGGTTAAGTACTACAGAATGGAATTTGTTAGGTATTTAAGAGCCTTAAACAGCAATTAGGCTCTTTCAAAAGTTTCATAAGGCAACTCAATGTTTAATTGCCACTGATTAATACAAATTATACTTTAAAAAGCATATAGATACCTGAAATCAACGTAACTTCTTTCTGCTACAATGCAGAAAAAAATATGAAATCCTTGTTTTTTCTCTTATGATCTGCTGTATATGAAGAATATGCAACTTAACTGAATGGTTATTAGATCATTATTTGTTTGCAGGAATACCAATAAGAACAACTCTTGATAACTCTACCACAGTCCAGTATGCAGGTCTTCTTCATCAGCTCACCATGAAAGCTAGGAGCACAGTGAGAGATATTGATCCTCAGAATGATCTAACCTTTCTTAGGATCAGGTCAAAGAAACATGAAATTATGATAGCTCCAGGTAATATTTCTATTGAAATAACAATAGAATTGTATGTCCTTTTAAGTTTCTTTTAATACCTCACGATTAAGGCTACTGTAGAAAATGCATTTTGAAAATAAGTATATGAAAATAGATATTCACCCTGTAACCAGATGCATTAGGATTCTAATGTCCAGAGTTTATAGCATTCAAGCTTGGAGACAACCAAACAAGTCTAGATCTGATTAATGTTCTGGTTTCTGTGGGTTTTCACAAAGAAAAACTGGACAAATATAAATGAAGTAGCATGTGTCTATATATAGTATTAAAGGCAGCAAATTCATTTTAGCTCCTAACAGATGCAAGAAATCTTTTTTTTCCCCACAAATTATTTTTTACTTGGTATGTTATCATGACTTCCTAGCCATAGGTGGGGTTTTGTCACAAATATTATCACCAACATAATAACTGTGATATAATTATTTACCTTAAAGCAACCAGGGGAATATAGCAACCTGTTTCTCACACACATTAAATACAAATATATTTGTATATTTGTTAGTTGTGTCTGTAAAATAGATAACGAGGCCAGATAAGCTGTGGTGAAGCTGTGGTCAATTATCAGTACAAGGTGAATCAGGCAAAGTGGAAGTGATTGGTTGGGGCTGAGACCCTAATGTGTGCGCTAGCTAATTGAGAGACTGATGGTATGCAGGATTTTGACAGAAATGCCCAGTGAAGGCATGCAGAACAGAAGGGAGGCTTCAGAGATCTCCTCAGCAGAGCCGCTGGGGAAGACGTTGGCTCTGAGCTGGTAGCGATGGACAGTTGTCACTGGGGTAGTCCTCTGATGCTGGTTTCGTAGCAGAGGTACTGCACCAGGTATGCACTACCTCACCTCGCTGGAAGTATTTATACTGCTGTTATGAAACCAGTACGTGTGAAAGAAATCTGGCACTGTCATTAAGTGTTAACATTAGTCATCAGCTGATACGAAGATTAAAATTTTAGCTTATCTTCTATTTTAGAATATAAATGTAATGCATTTTTAAAATCATGGTTTTTTTGCTCATGGATTTAAACTGATGCACTTGATTCTTATTTTGCATTTGCCCTTCACTTATTTTTAGAGGTGACTTTTTGACTCATAACCATTAAAGCATGTTGACCTGAAAATAAGTGGTATAAAATGTGAAGCTTTTTTGCTAACAGGGAGATTAGTTGTTCAAAGGCTTGGTTGTATTTTACTATAATAGAAGGTGGCAAATGAACCACCTGTGATTTATATTAAGTTGCTTTTTGGATGAAAGTGACAATGCAGGAGTGCAGCTTCTTAACTCTTCAAAGCAGATATGACCCTACTAAATGCACTGGATACTTTCAAGAAACGTTTCATTTAAACCAGATAATGTTAAATAGCTATCCAACGGAATTGTTTCCAAAACTTCCCCAGCCTTTTAGAATTAGTAGGCGAAGTCTGGCATGCTTAGAATTTATTCATAGTAGAAGTCTATTCAAATCTTTTCTGCTTTTTTCATGTCTGAATGGGGTTCTCAATTTTGAATAAACTAGTTAGTGAACAGAAAGAAGTTCTCTGCACCTGCAGAAGAGGCTGCAGATGTCAAAAGTTTTTTATTATAACAAGTGCTAGCTCCCAGGTGCTTATCTTGTGACTTTTTTCATCTTGTTTAACTATCTTTACAGCTTCTTGAAAGCAAATCTACTGCTTATTATAATAGTTTTAATATGGTATAGATCAGCTTTATGAGACAGATTTTTTTATCTGTAATCTCAGATTTTTGTACAAAGTGCTTACATTTTCTAAATGTTTTTTATATAAATGTCACTGCTTTTGCTTATGTTTTATAAACAAAAAGTTGGAGAGGAAGAGATGAATAAAGGGTATTTATCAGGAAATATGATAAAATATTTTAACTAAACATTTTTTATATCTTTTTGCAGATAAGGAGTATCTCCTGATAGTTATTCAGAACCCATGCGAATAGTCCTACTATGGAAATAATTTTAGATACAGTGATGTAGTTCTACTTGTTAACTTAATATTACTTGTTATTTAATATCAAACATAGCACTAAGTAATTTTAAATAAAGTGTAACTGTCGTGACTAAAATGTTGCCAATTTAAAGTTCTCAGTTGCAGCTGTATCAATTTGTTTGAGCAAGTCATAATGCATATATCAAAATATTGTATGTTTATCTTGATACTCAGAAGACCAATAATAAAACAGAATGCTTAAAACTCTCTTTAATGGATGTTCAAGCTATTCTTGCAATTAAATCATTCTGTTTACACTTCTAACACTATGTCAGAGGAGAAATCATACCTCATGTGAAGTTGTAGATCATGTGTATACATGCATCTATAAATCATAGAATGGATTAGGTTGGAAGGGACCTTAAAGATCATTTAGTTCCAACCCCCTGAACAACCCCAACTCTCTCAGCCTGTCCTCACAGCAGAGCTGCTCCAGCCCTCGGATCATCTTCCTGGCCTCCTCTGCACTCGCTCCAACAGGTCCATGTCCTTCCAGTTTAGAGAAAAGGATGCCGTGCGGGACAGTGTCAAATGCTCTGCACAAGTCCAAGTAGATGATGTCAGTCGCTCTTCCCTTGCCCACCAACGCTGTAAAACCCCGTCGTAGAAGGCCACCAAATTTGTCAGGCACAATTTGCCCTTTGTGAAGCCATGTTGGCTGTCACCAATCACCTCCTTATTTTCCACATGCTTCAGCACCATTTCCAGGAGGATCTGCTCTGTGATCTTTCCGGGCACAGAGGTGCCACTGGCCATCCTGTAATTCCCCGGGTCTTCCTTTTTAAAAATGGGGGTTATGTTTCCCCTTTTCCATTCAGTGGGAACTTTACCAGACTGCCACGACATCTCAAATATGATGGCTAAGTGACTTAGTAACTTCATCCGCCGGTTCCCTCAGGACCTGCGGATGCATCTCATCAGGTCCCATGGATTTGCGCACCTTCATGTTCCTCAGCTGGTCTCGAACCTGATCTCCTACAGTGGTGGTTCCTCATTCTCCCAGTCCCCACCTTTGCCTGCTGGGACTTGTCCCTATCAACTCTGTGTCCCTATGAACCACAGTTGCACAAACCAAAGAATACAAGTGTAGTTCATGTCAGTAGTGATGGACTGGATATTGCCCTGTCTTTAACTTCTGGGGTTTAAGTTTTCTAAGGGAAGAAAACTGAAAGAAAACCATCTTTTACTATTTTCCAGTTTCTATGGATGGAAACAATAGCTTCATTTAATATTTTCAGTACTGGGAGTTTCAAGCAGACAAAGTTGAGCTTGCACTCTAATGTGGAACCACTGTTAATTTGTTGGTAATGGTAAACAGTGGTGTAATTAAACCAAAACATTTGATAACTATTTAAGCCTTTAGACCTAATACACAGGCTGTACTCCCTTGTGACATGGGACAAAGGGTAGGTTTAGAGCTCAGAATGTTTCCCAAATCAGATCCGTATTTATGCAGTAGCACAGGAGATCAGATACACATTGTTGAGTGCCTTTAAACATATCATAGAATCATAGAACAGTTTGGGTCAGAAGGGACCTTTAAAGGTCATCCAGTTATGTAGATCATATATAAATTTTATCAATTAATTAAACTTTAAAACTTCAGTTTGTCTTCAGTTGGTCACAAGAAGTTTTTTTTCTAGACATAGGAAGGAAGAACAACAAATACGGGGGGTAGCGATGAGGACGAAAGGGAAAATGAATCTGTTGAATACTGCTCAGGGATCTTTGTAGTACATCACACGCATTGTGGTTGAGGTTATGAAACTGATAAATCACTGAATGTCTCGGTGGATACGGAGTCAGCAATTTGCTAGTAGGGCTCTGTTATGTATCACTCAAAACGTACACAAAGCCTGGTGGTATTTTTTTCAGATCTGAGTGTTTGCTCTGACTTTGCCGAATAGCTTGCAAAAGTTGTATTTCACCAAAAAATCTGGGAGGGCTGGTCCTGCTCCCGGGAACTGAAGGTACCGGAGCGTTGCGATCTCAAAGGCCAGCAGACAGGCTCCACAGCCGAGCAGCGGGCGGTGGGGACCATGGAAGATTCAGTGCCGCTGCGTACTGAGAGGAAGCCAACCCAAAGGCACAGAGGCCCAGTGTGGTAGAAATTAAGCATAGCAATCCAGCTGGGCAGGGCTGTTCAAAAATTTAAGGATATGTAAATCAACGGGACACTTACGGTAGGCAGTGCTGTGCCAGAAGAATTTCCTTACCGCTGGAGGGTTTTTTAATTGTGCACTGGAAAACAACCAGTTGAAGTTGTGTGTAATGAACCAATATATTGACATGTGGCAATGCTTTAAAAAAAACTAAGTTTTTATTTGTTATCTTCTCTGCTTCTGTTGTGATAATTTTAAAAGTCCAACCTATTTATTGCTCTGCATTAGTGAACATTTATTCTACTAATATCCTGGCATGCCAAACGCCTCTCAATTCAAAGCCCAGATTTTTTGTTTTAGCACATACCCAAAACTATTGCAGAATTCCAACTACTATTAATGTGTATTTGAGGCTAATGGTTTTGTTTCCGTAGTCTTCTCTAACAGCATTAAATTTTGTGGTGGTTTCCCTGTGTAAGTCCAGAAAACCGCCGGAGTAACAGTCCCTGATACACTTTTCTATTGTCAAAAATAATATTGGTGTTGCAATTTCCAGCATCGTTGAAAAACGTCCTTCAGCCCAAAGCACACAGTAGTGCATTGCAAAGAGACGAGTTTACGATCTGGCAACGTCCTTTCACTTTTGTCGTTCTGATACGTGTGTTAGTTCCCTTTACAGACTTTAATCCAATATTTATTAAGCAGCTGATGATTGCTGTAGCTTGATAAAGCACTCAAAAAGACACTTAAGCCAAATCATTAAAATTAAGCACATGCTAAATCATTTTGCTGAAAAGTGGTTTTATGTGGAACAACGGCCTTAAGCAGATGCGCGGAGTTCTCCAAGGGTCAAATATGGCTCACAAATTAGGTTTTTTTCCCTGTTCCTGCGAGAGGCATAGATACAGATAAGAGGGCAAAGTTTGGTCCGTTTATAATGATGTGTGCAGTCGGAAATGCTGTGCAAACACATGGGCTGAGCGGCGCTTCTGCCAGCCGCTCTGACCAGGGCAGCCTCTAACCCCCTTGCCTTGAAAGCACTGCAGTATTATACAATTTTGGCAACATCCTCACTAAGGAGCATAAACTGAAGTACACCATTTCACTCCCTGGTAATTTGTTCCTATTTTCTGTCAGCAAAAGTAAGCTGAACACGTGTAAACTTTTCATTTGGGTCTTTCAGTAGGAAATGGAAGTAACAATAGCGAAGTCTCTAACGGTCCTGGTGGAAAACCCTCATCAGCACATTGATCTGAACAAAGGCGGGCCATTGAAAAGGAATGGAATCGTCCAGACAAAACACATGGAAATAAATTTTTAACTTATTTGGGCACCACAAAAGTGTGACACCGCGTCATTTAAGCTGTTATTTCTGTGAACCGGCAGAGATTGTACTAGTTAACAATTAACTGGGGGAGGGTGAGGAAAAAAGTAGCATGAAAGAGATTAATGTCATAGATGATCATTTTGTCAAGGGAATGTTGAGAATGTCAAGAATGGCTGTTGTTCATTCAAAGGCAGCACTTGAGTTGAATTGTAACATGCTAGTTAGGCAACCAGCCAAGCAATAAATTATGTCAGTATCATGCGTTTGGGGTCCTCAAAATAAACTAAAATAGAAAGTTCTTGGAGAGCCTCCCACTTTCAAAATAAAGTACCTCAGATTTTCCCTAACATACGATTTTTCAAACTGCGTGGTCCCTCGTGGGACAACAGCTTTGGCGACCTGATTCAATCGAGGCAGTTGTTCATTCTATCTTCTGCTCATCTGCCAATTAAATACTTTTAAATATTTCATTTAATGCACGTTCAGTGCACTTGGCAGTCTGGCTTTCTATGTAGTTACTTGGTTTTTTAGACACACAGTTATCATTTAGTCCACATTACATAATGAGTATAGAAGCATCAAATGGTGTATTTGTCAGTTATACTTTCAGCTTAACTCAAGATGCATCTAGATCTGTGGTCTTATGTTTGTACATTGATTTAATATAACTACGGGATACAATGAGAGCGATTCACAAACTGTGCAAGTGATAAAGCATTTGTAAGATAACGCACTGCTATTTGATTTATGTAATTGTATTTTGCCAGGTCTGGTAAGGGCATTCTTGTGGCAGGATTCTTAGCAGGGAGTGTAACGGTGCGGAAGGTGGTATTAAAAATTAAGTCAAAATGGTCTGAAGTGGACAGTATTCATTAAGGATGTTCACAGTTCAGCTAGGAAGCACTAAGATGTTAAATATTAAATTCTCCTACTGCCAATGAATGAATTGTCACACTGTTTACTGCGTCATATATTAATTCTGCTTGCCAACACAATTTCAGTGAGAAGTTCCTCAGATTTACTGAGGACACAAGGCTTGGTATACAGTAGTATTATGTATAAGATCGGTGTATATACATATATATATGTGTATAAAGCATGTATATATAATTACTGTTAACTTCCTGAGATGTGTTTGTTGGACCACACTGGATTGTCTGAAGAAACTATCTGATCGTAAGTGTTATTCATAGTGAACCTGAAAAGGGCAGATTAGTAAAACATCACAATCATCTGAAAATGCAGTTAGGAATTAATATTATTTTCAAGAGTTATTCAGTTAGTTTTGGAACCAAACAGTGACAGCAGCACTGTCAATAACTGGGTTTCCCCAGCAAGAGGACTCAATCCCAGCTCCACTGTCTCAACTCAGCAGGACACAACTTCTGGGCTGGACCCACAGATAATGCCACAGTTTTCCTAAATAAACTGAGGTCTTCCTTTTAATTACATTTTAATTATTAAGTTAGAACCTAAGAGACAGCAAGATAATTCCCCTATTGATTTTTCAAATCTCAGGCA